TGTGTAGTTTTGTCTAACCATCACCTCAGTCAAGATACAGAACTATTGCAATACCACAGAGATCTCTCTCCCTTGTGTTAGCCCTCTGTAGTCAACCAGTCCCACTCCTACCCACTCCACACCATCCTTAACTCCTACAACCACTAATCTGCTCTCCATCATTATAGTTTATTGTTGTATTAGATGGGCTAGTAATACAGCATCGTCTCAAAGGGGAAATGTTTTCTGAAGCAGAAGCTACTGTCTTAAGAGGTTTTAAAGAACCTGCTTGTGTCTTCACATTTTCCAGTTATAAATTTCTTTAAAATGGAGGGCTCCAGTGGAATTTTCATCCATTTGCTCCCAACTAATGTGACCATAGATTCATTCATCCCCACCTCCTTTCTGTCAGCTTCCAAGAGAGTTTTGTTAAAGGGACAAAGCATTTTTTCATTAAGTTAATAATGTTGAAATGTTTTAAGAATTGGATGAATTTTTTATTCAAATTTTTATCCATTTTTATCATTTTTTTATTTGAGGAGTCAGAAAAGCATTTGGAAGTTTTTAGTGTAAAAAAAAATAAAGCCGTAATTCACTGATACTTTTATCTGGGTTCCTTGTTTATCATAATTTATAATAATGATGAAGATAGGTTCAAAGGAGTTGATATGTATAAAGCACTTAGACTAGTGCCTGGCACACAGTAATCTCTGTGTTAGTGTTAACTCTTACTTTTATTGCTACTGTTAAGACAACGGTTCTCAGGCTGAGAAGGCCTTTTTAAGCATAAAACCAGAAGATTAAATCACACAAAGAGGAAAGTAAAAGTATCGGCTACTTTGAACAAGAAAAACCAGGCCCCCATACGCACATAAAGAAGATTGGGAAGGTGTGTTTTCATAGATTTTCTCTCCGTGGTGGGTTTATAGTTGATTCATGGCCCCACCCTCCCTATTCTCTCCTTTTAACAAACATAATTACTCTTACAGTTGGGGAAATTAAAGCAATGATATATGGAAAGGGAATAAATACACCCAGATTCAGTAAGACTTTTAGGAAAGTGACACTCGCTAGTAGTAGTATAAATGACCCTGTATTTCAGGAGGGCAATTTGACAGATATCAAAGCCTTGAAAAGGTTCATCCTCTTGACCTAGTGATTTTACTTTTAAGACTGTATTTTTAGGAAATGATCAGAAATGTCAGAAAAGGTGCAAGGATATTCATTAGAGTGTAGCCTTCTAACAGGAAAGTGAAATTCACTTTATGTGTAAAGTTCATTATTGAGTTTGAACTCCATCAAATGGCTACATTGAGTAGTTTGATAGGTATAATATCAGTTTAACACACTTTGATCATGGCATTAGTATAAATTTGGAAATAATATTAATTGGTTAAAAACAATTTCAATATTTATAGATTTAATCCTAGGAATTTGTCCTAAAATATGCCATCTTTATATAGTTATATTAATATATATTAATAGTATTTATATTTTTAGAACAAAAATATTTTCTAGCAGTTGGATGTTTTTAATATAGTTATGTCATTTTTACATTCATGTAATGTCTATCACTATTTTCTGTCTAAACAGGGAGGTAATGTGAAACGAACACGTAGGCTCAGTAACTGTGGCATTGCTTCTGTTGTTTTATACTTGCCTTCAGTAATTTCAAATCTAAAGGTTGTAATCTAGCTTTTGGTTTTAAAAAAGTTAGTAATTGATATCTTTTTTTTTTTTTTTTTTAAGATTTTATTTATTTATTTGACAGAGAGAGACACAGCAAGAGAGGGAACACAAGCAGGGGGAGTGGGAGAGGGAGAAGCAGGCTTCCCATGGAGCAGGGAGCCCGATGCGGGGCTCGATCCCAGGACCCCAGGATCATGACCTGAGCCGAAGGCAGACGCTTAACGACTGAGCCACCCAGGCGCCCCAGTAATTGATATCTTCAGAGCATTTAGTGCTTATCCACCGTGTTGAAGCAGTAATTGCTGTTTCCTCCCTCAGTGTTCTCCATCTCAATTACTCAGGCCAGAAGAGGGAATCTGAGTACCTCTGGATACCTCATTCTTAGCTTACGATGTGTGGATCCAGTTTTTGACCAAGTCTTGCCTGCCTCCAAAATACCGTGAATCTACCACTTTTTTCAGTATTCACTGACATCACCCCAGTCAAGGGAACAGTACCTGTGTTTTTGGAGTATTGTATCATCATAATAACTGTTTCCTCCTTTTTCCCCTTAGTCCGTTTCTTTTTGTTTATATTTTTAAATTTTATGGAAGATAGGAATACATCCCATTAAAGAAGTCACGTATTTCTACCAGCCCCACCCTTGAGCCCCACACCCATCCAGTGTCTTAGCTATTCCTCTTTGGAGGAATTTCAGTTCAGTTTTCAAATAATGCATCTAAATGCCTATCGTTTATAATTTTTAAAATTTTAGATATGATTTATTGACTCTCTGTACTGTAGAAGATGATTTTACTCTTATATTCTCTTCCCCTGACATTTACACAATTCACTTCGCCTCTTTTTCGCATGTAGTTATGTTGTAATTTTAACATGAATAAGTAATCATGCCTCAACCATGCTTTACAATCGAGCCATGATTACTTACTTAAATTTTGTTTTCCTTGAGCTAATAACTTACTTAAAGTTTCTCTGTACTGGTCACTAATGTTTCTGCTAGTGGTAAATATAGTGAATGCCTTATCAGTGTGTGTGTTCAAACTCTTAGAATAGAGTTCATCTATGAGAGGCACCCCTCTTGGAATTTCTGTCCTCTTGCTAGTTAATATCTGAACTATTGTTCTTAAGCTCTGCTCACAGTTGTGTCCCAGGATGTCCCTTTACTGTTAATCTGGGTATTCATAGTATTTTCTTTGTATGTGGTTACTCAGTTTCCTGGATCACATGTCTTCCTTTTTCTTAGTTTGCTAGTTTGTTTTGAGGGACCACATATTCTGCTGGCTCTCTGAGAATAGGTGCATAGAAGACAAATTCTCTGAGACTTTCATGTTTGAAAATCTCTGCAATATATTTTCATACTTAATTCATATATTTGTTGGACACAGAATTCTAGGATTTTGAAGACATTATTTCAGTTGTCTTTGACTTTCAGTGTGTTACTCTTGAGGTATCGATGCCTTTGATCCCTTTTTTCTGCCTGAGATCTATTTTTGTTTTTGAATCTTACAGATTTTTTTTTTTTTAAGATTTTATTTATTTGACAGAGAGAGTCACAGTGAGAGAGGGAACAGAAGCAGGGGGAGTGGGAGAGGGAGAAGCAGGCTTCCCATGGAGCAGGGAGCCCGATGCAGGGCTCGATCCCAGGACCTTGGGATATCAGACCTGAGCCGAAGGCAGATGCTTAACGACTGAGCCACCCAGGCGCCCCTGAATCTTACAGGTTTATAATCTCTTGGTCTCTAATGCTCTAAACTTTCTGATGCTGGGCCTTGGTTTTGAGGGGTTTTTTAATTTACTCCATTATAAAGGGCACGAGACAGGTCTTTTCTTGCCCTTAAAGTTCTAAGGGCATTTAAAAAAATTTTTTTGATAAGTTATTTTTCCCAGTACTCCCTTAAAATTCTTGTTGTTATGCAGACATTGAGTCTAGTGGACTCCAATTAACATAATATTTTGACTCCTATTTTGATTTTTTTTTTTTTTTAAGATTTTTATTTATTTATTTGACAGAGAGATAGCGAGAGCAGGAACACAAGCAGGGGGAGTGGGAGAGGGAGAAGCAGGCTTCCTGCCGAGCAAGGAGCCCGATGTGGGACTCAATCCCAGGACCCTGGGATCATGACCTGAGCCGAAGGCAGACGCTTAACGACTGAGCCACCCAGGCGCCCTTGAGTTTATTTTTTAAAAGATTTTTATCACCTTTATCTCACAACTCTTATGTTGGTTTTTTAAATCTCTCTTACTGTGTTTTCCTTTCCAAAAGCTCTGTTTTGTTCTCTAAACATATCCTCCTGTTTTTGCCTAATGGGAGCAATATCCTCATCTATCTGAGAGTAATAATTGTATGAGTTTTTCTTTTCTCAGTTGTTTGTTTGCTTCTTGCCCTAACTCAATTTCCTCAGATAGATTCTGTCTCTTTCTGGTGGTGGTTATTGCATTACAGCAGGGTTCTTAACCTGTTTTGAACCTTGGAACCCTTTGGCACCTGAACAAAGCCTATGGAGCTGAACCCCTTTAAAATCAAAGGAAATCAATTCTGTTAAAATACACTTCTCAACATATTTTTATAACTGTCACATAGCAGTATATATGTGCTTCTTTATTAACACATTAAGATCCAGAGATGATGAGCTCATAATTTCAAACTAGTGATGAGTATAATGATGTTTTTGGGCTATCTGTACCAACTGTAATGTGATATGAAAATTTTTTATCAGTGACAAAGTCACATGTATTGCTAACTCTTCTGTAATCTGTACTCTACATTTATAATTAAAAGGAATGTCGTATCAGAGGTTAGTATAAAATAAAAATTTAATTTTTTGACATCCAAGTTTATTAAGCCCTTTGAATTCTATTGACAGACCTTGCGGGGTATCAAGAACTCTTTTATTAGAAGTTTCGTCACATATCTGGGGTGGTTGGCTGTCAGCTCAAAGAGTGAGGTACTGGGAAGCTAATCGGAAGCTCTGAGTAACTGAATGGGGCTTGACAACTACTAGGCTTCACTATACACTGTAGAAAGCTCAACTTTCATTATCTGTGGGTCCTTCCTCTTGGGATTCAAATCTCTTCAAAAAAGAATCCACCAATCTCCTTGTAGAATGTAAGTCTAGTTATCTATATTCTCAGAGACAAGTAATTTTCCCTCTTATATTCTGCTAGTAGAATTTGTTTTTGTGATTTAACTAAATGGTTATAGTATTAGATATGTTCGTGTTAAGTAAAATGGCTCTAGGAAAGGACACAATTGTCTTTTATGTTTTAAAACCCTTACTATAACAAGAAGAGTGGGCTATTTCATCAAATTTATTTTTACTCATTTTTTTCAGGAGCTTTCAAGTTGTGGATGGAATAAAAAAGAAAAATATAGTTCTGCACCAAATGCCGTTGCCTTCACAAGAAGATTTAATCATGTGAGTTGCTTATAAAATCTTGATAATTTAGTTTCTGAAATTCAGTTCCTTAATGTATTTTCTTTTTTTTTTTTTTTAAAGATTTTATTTATTTATTTGACAGAGAGACACAGCAAGAGAGGGAACACAAGCAGGGGGAGTGGGAGAGGGAGAAGCCGGCTTTCCGCTGAGCAGGGAGCCTGATGACCTGAGCCGAAGGCAGACGCTTAACAACTGAGCCACCCAGGCGCCCCTCCTTAATGTATTTTCATTAAGAAGTAGTTTAACTTTTCACATCAATGTTGGAATATTTTAAGCCACTATCTCTTCAAATGTTGTCTCTCTGCATGATCTCTATTTTTTTTCCTTCTGTAATTTCTTTTGGAAATTTGTTGGGGCTTGATACTCTTTTCTACTTGTATGTTAACCTTTCGTATTTTATATCTATTTCCTTAAACCATTCTGCATGGTTTCTTCAGATCTATATTTCAGTTCACTAATTCTCTTATAGATGGGTCACATCTGTTTCAAATCTGTGTGCTTTTACACTAGTGTCATTTTTAATATTTCTTAAATCATTTTCAACATTTTATTTTGTAATTTCTGTGTTATTATCTGAAGACCTTGGAGTTCTAATTCTATGTTATGTCTGCTGATCCTTACACAAAATGGTTTGTTTTCTTAAGCATTTTATAATTTTAGATTGAGAGCTCATATTCATTTAAGTTTTATGTGTGCTTTATCTGTGGGACTTCTGCTGCTGCCTAGATTGAGGGTATATCTCTTCTGAAATGCTTTTGTTTGCTTTTGCTGGTACCAAGGGCTATAATGACTTAGTTCAGTTTTTCATAAGTTTTGGTTAGGAACATCCATACTTTGCTTTAGTGAAAATTTAAACTCGAAATCCACTTAAGGGCTCGTTACAAATTCTTATGAAAAACTTATTTTTCTCCATCTCCTGTATTTGTCTTCCCCTGCCAGTAAGTGAATTGTTTTAGCCTCCATTTTCACCAAGATTATAGCACTTTGACAATCCCTTAGATAGACATAGTGGTGGTAGAAGAGAGTTGGGCGACTTGTATATATCTTGGGAGGAGTATTAAATCCTGAGCCCCTATGTCACTGAGAGAAAATCCTCCATGGGCAGCTGCAGTGCCCTTTCTTTTAACCACTGCTTTGCCTTTGTTTCCTCCTCCCTTTTTTCCCCCCCTGCCTCTAGGGGAAATCCTTTCTTTCAAGTTAGCCACATGTTTTTTTAAAAAAGAGTTTGTTGTCTTTAACCCAACATTTCTAGGCTTTTATATAAACAGTTTCTCAGGTTATTTGGTTCACTGTATTCCCCAAAATGAAGTAGATCAAAGTTTTTAAAAATAAGATTAAACCATTAAAATAGGGATATAGGGCAAGCATGTCTTTCACTGAATTTTATATTCAAGTTATATAGTTACATATTCAAAATTTTTCTGAGTTGATCAGAATTTTTCATCACAGTAAAATTTTTTTACCATACAAAAACATTGTTATAATATTCACAAATTTGACTTTAGATTTTAAGCATATTATTCTTAAATAAACCAATAAGTTGTCAGAGTCAGATACGCCACATTGTACCAAAAGCTTTTATCCTTATTCCAGCATATTATTCTTAAATAAGCCAAAAAGTTGTCAGAGTCAAATATGCCACATTGTACCAAAAGCTTATATCCTTATTCCAGATTACAATTGATCCTATAATCTTACTGAGTTGCTCCATTACTCTATTAATTTCTCCTAGTAGGGTCATAGAAGATTTGAAATAGCAGATTATAAAAGAAATTAGAGTCTATTACAAGAAATCTATCTGCACCATTATTATTATTTTTTTTAAGATTTTATTTATTTGAGAGAGCAGGTACAAGCGGTGGGGGGGGGGGGGGGGGGGGAGGGACAGAGGGAGAGGGAGAAGCAGACCGCTCCCTGATCAGGGAGCCCGATGCGGGCTTGATGTGCTGCTCGATCCCAGGACCCCGGGACCATGACCTGAGCCGAAGGCAGATGATTAACTGACTGAACCACCCAGGCGCCCCTTGAAATGCTTTTATAAAGAGACATTTTCCCTCATCTGGTATTTGCTTGCCCAGAGGTTCATTACCTATAAGCAAGGAAGGATGAATGTTTGATCCTTCCCTTTATTTAATAATTTTGAAGATAATGAATTGGTGTTCCTCTAATAGTGACCAAGTAGTTTTTTATTTTTTAATACCATTATGAACTCATAAATTTAGATGCATATGATGTGTTTCAACCCGTTGTGGTTATCTTTATTGAGATGAATATTGTTCCATCTTTGGCCAGTGGAAGTCTATGCAAGTTGGCATTCATGTCCTTTGTCACAACCCTAGTAGTCTCGAATAGTTCCCTTGCCATCTGGTATACAAAGATGTTTCGGGTTCATTTGCTCCATTACCTGTCCCCCACCTGGAATCAACATTTCTTTAATAAGTCCTGGTTTCTTATGGGGGGAAGTGGACCTGAATGCTAGGAATGCTCATTGCTATCAGAATGACAATTTCTATGCCTTTTTCAGCAGAGATAGCTAGGATATCTGTGTGTTATACACATACACATACAACTATTTAAAGATAAAGCATCTCATGAGTTCATATTGATACTTCTAATTCGAATTCAGGACCAGAGTTTTACTTACAACTCTTCTGTATTACATCCATATGTTCTTTCTTCCACACCCAGAATTCTGGTTTTCAAGGGACATAGGACATGATACAATACCCTATCATATACTCATTTGCTTTGTCCTACATAACAAACAACAGACTCAGAATAATAATACTAATACCAATAATGTTATAAACAGATGTTTTGCAGATGTTCTGTTTTTCATAATTGCACTATATATTGTCTGAGCATATCGGCATTATATAATGTACTCTCTTTCTAACCCTCCTTAAAGTACCATCCTTATGTTGGTGTTTCTCTAGGCTATTTGGTTGCCTGAAGCTCGTTCTCTGTTACAATACTCAGGAAGGGCTCATTAAAACAGTAATGCCTGAATTCTTGAATGCTGACAAATTTTCCTCTCCTCTGTATAAAATTTTCCTTCCTTGATATTAATCCATTTTTTTTCCTGACAGTGTTGCTGTTGAAAAGTCTGATGATAATTACATTTTATTTTCCTTAAAAATTACTGTATCTTTTTGTCTCTATGGCCGACAGATTTTTTTTCCCAGTAATTTTATTGAAGTGTATCTTAGTGTCGGTCATTCTGGATCAGTATTCTCAGGTATGGTTGGCTTTAGCTAGGACTGTCAACTGGGGAGCACCTACACTTAGCCTTTCCAGCATGGTGGTTGGACTTCTTACGTGGTAGTTCAGGAATCTCAGACACAGTGTTCCAGCAATCAAGGCAGGGGCTGCGTGCTCTTTTATGACCTTGTCCTGGAAGTTAGCATCAATTTCGTTCATCTTCTGTTTATCAAAACAGTCACAAACCTGTCCAGATGACTTTCAGTGAAAAGAATGACAAGAACTTTTGGGCCATGTTGATGGTATTTGTCTTAAAATTTGTCTCACATTAAATTTAATAAAGTCAGCGATCATGCAGTTTAGATTGAGTTCACGGGTAATATTGGCTATGGTTGTTGATCAAATACCTAGAGTATAGCTTTTGATATATTTTAGAAGTAAACTTTATCAGAATCAGGGATAATAATTGCCATTAGTAGCCCAGATATAGTAATGGATAGGAAGATGGTTTTGTAAAATATATACATTTGATATTTACATATATACCTTTGTAAAATATATACAAAATATGTACATTTTGGCATTTTATTGATGAAATGTTTCACTAAAACAGGGAGACGAAATGTGAGGCAAGGCGCTATCTTTTGCACGATCATTTCTTTTTTTTTTTTTTAAAGATTTTATTTATTTATTTGAGAGAGAATGAGATAGAGAGAGCATGAGAGGGGGGAGGGTCAGAGGGAGAAGCAGACTCCCTGCTGAGCAGGGAGCCCGATGCAGGACTCGATCCCGGAACTCCAGGATCATGACCTGAGCCGAAGGCAGTCGCTTAACCAGTTGAGCCACCCAGGCGCCCTGCACGGTCATTTCTTAACTAATACACCGTTTTTAGATTTAGAAGTTTAAGCCAACTGATAGTGCTTTGATTTTCTTACCATAGTAAATGAATTAAAAATGTTACATTATATCATATGGTAAGCAAACTACTTTCATCAGAGTAGATAGAGCATTTTAGTAGTGTGATAGATAGATCTAGTCTGCCTTCTTTTTTTTTTCTTTTTTTTTTTTAAAGATTTTATTTATTTATTTGAGAGAGAGAGAATGAGAGACAGAGAGCATGAGAGGGAGGAGGGTCAGAGGGAGAAGCAGACTCCCTGCCGAGCAGGGAGCCCGATGCGGGACTCGATCCCGGGACTCCAGGATCATGACCTGAGCCGAAGGCAGTCGCTTAACCAGCTGAGCCACCCAGGCGCCCCTAGTCTGCCTTCTGATGAATGATTTTTAATGTCTTGAAAGAAATTATGAATATGGTTTATGAATTAGGGAATGCATTACATGATTTTTAAAATACAATCTTAGTTTAATTTTAGAATGACTTAGATACGTTTTTCTTTATGATATTTCATTTTATTCATACCAAGAAACACTTGGGATTCTTCACACTTATGATTATGCTTAGTGTAAATAAATGGCAATGTGGGATTCCACAGCCACAGGAAAAGTATGCTATAAGTAGCATATTTTATAATGTCTGCTCTTAAAGCATATCTAATCTGCCACGGTGTTTCAGAATACAGCAAAATCACACGTATTGGTATAGTGTTCTTGTTGTATCACTCTGGTTTTATTGCATTCTTCTGTTAGCTCTTTTCCTTCAAAACTTCTGTTTGCTTTTACAAATCAAAAATCATAGTGATGTTTTTGTGTATGTACACACATACATATCTATATCTGTCTCTGTGCATATACATATAGTACATATATGAAGTGTATGCAACATCCAAAGATTGGGTATATATCCAATTGGGGGGTGTGCAGGGAAAGAGAAAGTATGGTTTATTAACCAGCTATAGGTAGTTCATCAAGTAGTTCCTGTCATTAATTGGATCCTAGTGAGTGAAGAATCTTGCCATTCAACTATTTTTCATTTTTATTTGCAGGTAAGCTTTTGGGTTGTTAGAGAAATTCTTCATGCTCAGACATTAAAAATCAGAGCAGAAGTGTTGAGCCACTATATTAAAACTGCTAAGGTAAGAAAACTTTTGTTTTTATTTTTTGAGAGTCCCAACCATTCAGCACTGTTTGTGAGTCAATGTTTGCCTGTGACACCTTATTTACTATTTATTGACCCTGGAAAATAAGGCCTATTGATTAGTATGTCAATTTTTTCAATTGGGTGCCTGTTTTCTTTGCCTTTTCTTTATTCCTCCTATTGTCCTCCCTTTTACATCTTTCCTCCCTCTCTCAGAGTAGCTGGATTATATTATTTATTTGACTGGATAAGTAGGCAGAGATCAGATTATGGTGAAGTATGACAGTTAAAAATATTGGACTCTTGTGCACGTAATTGGGAAAGCCTTACAGGATTAAGTAGGAAAATACATACCAGTTATTTGCTTTTGAAATATATCAGATTATGGTGAAGTATGACAGTTACAAAATATTGGACTCTAGTGCACGTAATTGGGAAAGCCTTACAGGATTAAGTAGGAAAATACATATCAGTTATTTGCTTTTGAAATACATCACTGCCAACCATGTGGAGAATAAGAAGACTTTATTTGTAAGAGAATAATATAAAGAGGATATTAACAAAATATGTTAATTGAGTAGTTGTTGTATGGCATGGATAATAAATGCAGCAAGAGAAAAGGAACATGGATTTCAAGGATGGTCAGAATTTAGAGAGGAGGGGGTGAACAGGGCATTTCACAGGAAGATACCAATAATTTATTAAAACTCATAACTCCAAATTTACGTTAAGTTCACTAAAAGGTGGTATAATTGTAGCCACATTCTTCATTATTCTTGTAATAAATACATAATTTACCTCACATCCGAATGAAAGTGGATTAAAATAAGAATACCTTTTTTACAGTTTTAAATTACTGTAATTATTGTAAAATTGTGATTGCTGTGAGTTGTAACATATTTTCCTTGAGCACCTGGGAACAATTGTATTCTAGCATTCTGTGGCACTAGGTGGCAGAGCTAGCTTTGTAAATATGATATTTTGTGGCAGTGTCATAAAACTTTTAAAACGTTCTCTGTGATATGTTCGATAAATTGGGTTTTGCTAACAAATTCATGTCTTTTCTCCATAAAGTCTGAATTTGTTTTATTTTTTCCTGGTATTTTTATGCTTTGCACATTCCATTCAAAACCACCAAATTCTAGGGGCGCCTGGGTGGCTCAGTCGTTGAGCATCTGCCTTCGGCTCAGGTCATGATCCCAGGGTCCTGGGATCGAGCCCCACATCGGGCTCCTGGCTCAGCGGGGAGCCTGCTTCTCCCTCTTCCACTCCCCCTGCTTGTGTTCCCTCTCTCATGGTGTCTCTCTGTCAAATAAATAATCTTAAAAAAAGAAAAAAGAAACCAAATTCCGCCTTTCAGGTTTGCTGTTATCCTCCTCATCAAGTAATCATTTAATTCCAGTTCAGACTCTAAGTCATTTTTGACAGTGGTTGCTTTCGTCCCAAGCCCTAAGTTCATAACCTTTTTTGTTGTGTACCATCTCTTAAATCCTTCTATTCTGCCTCTCTGCCTTCTGTATTCAGTCTGTATAAAACGGGCAGGTCTTTTTCTTCTTTTAGTAGATTGTATGAGTTAGGGTTCTCTAGAGTGAGAGGATAAATACACACATATATAAAATATATAAAGAAAATTAAGGAATTGGCTCCAGTAGCTGGGGGAAGGGGCTGGCTAGTGTGAAATCGATTGTAGGGCAGGTGGACAATCTAGAAACTCAGGCTGGAATTGGAGGTGCAGTCTTGAGGCAGAATTTCTTCTCTCAGTTTTGTTTTTTTTTTTTTTAAGATTTGCATTTATTTATTTAAGAGAGAGCATGAGAGGGGGGAGGGTCAGAGGGAGAAGCAGACTCCCCACTGAGCAGGGAGCCCAATGTGGGACTTGATCACGGGACTCTGGGATCATGACCTGAGCTGAAGGCAGTCGCTTAACCAACTGAGCCACCCAGGTGCCCCTCTTCTCTCAGTTTTTGTCTCTTAAGCCATTTTAGCTGATTAGATGCAGCCTACCATATTATCAAGTGTAATCTCTTTTAATTAAAATCAACTGATTATAGATGTAAGCCATATCTACAAAATGGCTCCACAGCAACACCTAGATTAATGTTTGATTAAATAACTGGGTACCATAGTCTAAATCAAGTTTGATACATAATACTGATCACAGAGACACACAAAAAATTTATAAAGTAGATTTAAGGTATCAAAAGGATGATAAAGTGGATATCCATGTACCCACTGCCCTCTTTGAATTCCCATAGGTCTCCTCATATGCGATCCCCTACCCTCCCACTACAAAAGGAACCATTGCCCAGAATTTTGTTTGCTTTTCTTATATAGTTTTATATATGTGTGTGTGTTTCTGAATCATATATTGTATGTTTTTCAATTTTGTTTAAATCATTTCCTAATTACTTTTATATTTTTAAAACTTTGGTTTTTTTTACTCAGCACTGTTTCTGAATGGTTTCGGGGTATATCTCTGTTTAGAGTGCTCTGTTGTTTGCATATACCACAAATTCTTCAATATACTCTAGCTTGGATAGTTTTGAAATTTTTGTTGTTATAAACACTACTGCTTTGTAGGAGTCTCTAGGTGCTCATGTGGGGGTTGAAGCACTAAAATATAGAGAGAACAGGTAAATTACCTTTAAAGAAATGACAGTTAGATAACTTTCATTGAATGTGATGAGAATGAACATTTTTTTCTGTGTTGGCCATTTAGGTTTTTTCTCCTGAAATGTCTGTTCAGGATCTTTGAACAATTTTCTATTATGGTGTTGGTCTTTTATTGATTTTTGTAAGAGTTTTTTATTTAACTCTCGATGCTAGTTCTCTTTTACATGTTTTCATATGCATCATTCTATTTTTGACTTGTCTTACCACTTTTCATGTTATGTTTTGATAAAGTTATTCTTTAGTAGTCAAACTTACTGATCTTTAATTTTGTCTTATTTAAACATACCTAATTTAAGAAAGTTTTATAGCTTTGATTTTTGTACTTGAGTATTTAATCCATGTGGAATAAATTTTTATGTATGTATGGATTATGGATTACTATTCATATTTTTCATATGAATAATAATTCTGGCACCATTTTTTAATTGAGGTATAATTGACATACAGTATCCTGCTAGTTTCGGGTGTACATCATAGTGATTCAGTGTTTTTATACATTATGAAATTATCTCAATAAGTCTAGTTACCATACAAAATTATTATAATATTTTTTACATCACATTTCCATGACTTACTTACTTTAGAACTGGAAGTTTGTACCTCTTAATTGCCTTTGCCTGTTTCATCCACTCCCCCAAACCCTTCCCTCTGATAACCAACAGTTTTATTTTCTATAAATCTGTTTCTGTTTTGTTTGTTCATTTGTTTTGTTTTTTAGATTCCACATATACGTGAAATCATACCGTATTTGTCTTTCTCTGATTTATTTCACTTAGCATAATACCTTCTATGTCCAACAAGGTTATCACAAATGGCAAGATTTCATTCTTTTTTTATGGCTAAGACTGCATTGTATCATAGATACCACATCTTCTTTGTCTGTTTATCAGTGGGCACTGGGTTGCTTCCATTGTAAATAATGGCTATTGTAAATAATGCTGCAATGAACATAGGGGTGCATATATCTCTTTGAATTGGTGTTTTCATCTTCTTTGGATAAATACCCAAAATAGAATTGCTGGATCATATGGTAGTTCTATTTTTAAATTTTTGAAGAACCTCCACAGTGCTTTCCATAGTGGCTGCATCAATTTATAGTCCCACCAGCAGTGTGTGAGCAGTGTTTTCCCCACATACTTGCCAATGCTTGTTATTTTGGGGTTTTTTGGTTTTTTGGTTTTTTTTGATAGTAGCCAATCTGACCAAATGAGAGGATCTCTCATTGTGGCCTTGATTTGCATTTCCCTAATGATTAGTGATGTTGAGTTCTGACACCATTTTTAAAAATCCTTTGTTAAAGTGATCTTTATTTTATTTAACCTGGAAGTCTCTTTATGTCACCTTGTTCTTATAAAATGCTATTCCAGTGGTGCCTGGGTGGCTCAGTCGGTTAAGCGTCTGCCTTCAGTTCAGGTTGTGATCTCAGGGTCCTGGGATCAAGCCCCACGTCAGGCTCCCTGCTCAGCAGGAAGCCTGCTTCTCCCTCTCCCCCTTGCTCCTGCTCTCTCTCTCAAAAAAAGAAAATCTTTAGGAAAAAAAAAATGCTATTCCAGACTTAGAGTTTTGTGTGTTTGTTTTTTGTTTTTTACTCTGCTTGGGATTCCTTGAGCTTCCTGAACCTAGGAATTAATGTCTTCTCAGTAATCTAGGAAAATAATCAGCCATCATGTCTCAGATACTGTTTCTACCATTACTTTTTATCGTCTTCTTCTGCAACTCCAGCTAGATAAATGTTGGCCTTTTTTCTCTACGTTTCATGTCTCAACCTTTTTTCACATTTTTTAAACCTCTTTTATGTTGCATTCTAGATAATATCTTCATATTTAATCTTCATTTTATTTGAGGCCAATAACTGATATTGTTCTCCATTTGTAAATTCTTGGTTCCTTATGTTTTTTCATTTTCCATTTTTTTAAATTGAGTCTGTTGAGTTCATATTTCTTGAAACTTTATGGGAATTCTTTGAGACCTGAGCTAAGGTGATATATTGGTCAGAGTTCTCCAGAGAAACAGAAACCCTCCTCTTTCCTTAGCTCTAATGTTCAAAACAGGCATTTTTGCCTTGGAGTCTCTTGGTGGTGGGCAAGGACCATTCTAAATGATTTTCAGATAGGACCATTAAGATGTAAGCATCTGGTATTATGAGGAAATCTGGGAAATTAGCAATAAATACATAAATAAATAAATATCAAGTAGATCTCTTGGCAAACTGATGGAGCCTAATGTTAGGTAGGAGTCCTGCAAGGAGACTGTAAAAAGCAAGGTCTAGTTTTGGGAAGCGAGTGGATGTCCCAACATGAGTGAAGAACAGAGAATCAGGATTCGGGTGGGAGGAAGAAGGAAATTAAGGACTGTGGAAAGCAGATTTGAACCCTAACCCTGGAATTATGAGGGTACTGAGTAGAAAACCAGATCAGGATCCTGGGCACAGACCCTTTCTTAAAACTGGGATCATAAGGCAGGGGGTTGGTATTTCAGTATAAGGAAGGAGACTCCTTACTAGAAAATGGGGTGCATGATCATATTGGGTAAACTTGATACTGAGCCATAACTTTGGTTTTCTTAATATATTACTGAACTAGAGGTAGATTTGTTCCCAGAGCTTGGGGTCAATGCCAGGTTAGAATGTGGAAGTTCTGTTGTGGGCTAAAATCAACTTATTATAAACATAATGGGTACTCTAAAGACGAATCTTGCTGATGAGGGTGAGAAGTACTAGAACACTACTAATTGCCTAGATTTTACTTGTTAATCGAAAGTTTTCTTATATTTATTCTCATTATTTTTTATCTCTCCTCCCCCTTTTTCTTAAATCTTCAGAAACTGTATGAGCTGAATAACCTTCATGCACTTATGGCAGTGGTTTCTGGCTTACAGAGTGCCCCAATCTTCAGGTTGACTAAAACATGGGCGGTAAGTCATCTTCCTAGTTAGTGAAAGGGTTAGACTTCCTGTTGGAAGTAAAGATGTATTTACTTCTTTTGTAGTTCTTAGTGAGGTTAATATTATAATAGATAAGGACCCTTAAATTAGTTTATACTCTATTTTTTTTTTGAAACCTGCTTTTTCCTCTCTCAAGTGTTACACTAGACTTGTCAGGTAATTTTGGGGTAAATTATAGCTTGGTACTTGGGTTTTGCCATTTAGGAAATCATTTTTGTAGAATCTGTGTAAGCATCTTTGACAACATAGCATTTCATGTTTACTGATGGGGAAGTGTAATTTTTATTTTTGCATTTAATGCAGTTTTTTTGCATTTAATCTTGTAAAGATTAAGCTTTTGGAAAGTTCAAGGAGAACATCTAAATTGCAACTTTCAGAATATTTACTTACTTAGATTTTCATTATCTTTTAGTCAGTAAACTTAGATTTTTTTCCCCTCAGGAATAATGAAAAATTGGGTAGTTAACATGGGATTATGCAGTGTTGCTGCACATTCTGATATATGTTAATTGTATTTGGTTCTATCACTTTGACAAGGTCAGTCAGGGTGTGAATTTTGACTTCTGCAAATCTGTGTACTTCCATATTTGAGTGATGTGGTACTGGCCTCAAGCTTTCTAGGTATTTTTCATTTAGATTTTATATAAGTAAAATTTCATATCCGATTAAATCTGTTCTTATTTAATAGTATTCTTTGGTGTTAAGGAGGAATGATTTTAATACATTTTATACAAAGGATTACTATATTCTTGGGATCCTGTGATAAAGAGATGACTAACTTTTAAAAGCTTCTTTTTTTTCTTGGCTAAAGTATAACTGTTTTGTTTTGGTTTTTTTTAAAGATATTTTTTATTTGTTTATTTGACAGAGATAGAGAGCACAAGTAGGCAGAGTGGCAGGCAGAGGGAAAGGAAGAAGCAGGCTCTCTGCTGAGCAGGGAGCCCGATGCGGGGCTTGATCCCAGGACCCTGGGATCATGACCCGAGCCGAAGGCAGCTGCTTAACCGACTGAGCCACCCAGGCACCCCAGTATAACTGTTTTTAATTAGCCTAGTATTGCTTTTACTTTTCATCGTATCTGAAGAGACAGTGTTTCTCATGAAAACCAGGGTGATTTTCTGTATTAGAAGAAAGACATTAATATGGAAGAGCTTATGATCCTCTTTATATTTTATTTGCATTTTAGAAGCACCTGGGTGAAGGGTTTTCTTACTTTAAAAAAATTCCTTTTAATAAGATGGCCTTTCTCTCTTTTCTTAAAATTTGAATTTCACTGGTGAATGGAAATGATTATAAATATACAGTAATGAATTCCATCTTTGAAATTTTAGGGAAAAGAATTATACTCTGATTTATCTTGTTGTTTAGAAATGAGATACATTTCCCTCAAGTTAATTTTTATTTTCCTTGAAGATATTTTTGTTGTCTCCCTCATGTATTTGCATGGAAAAGAATTTTTTATTTAGTAACAGTTTCATTATTAATCTGAATAAAATCTTTAGTGTTTATATTAAATTTAAAATTATATTAAATTTAAAATAGTCTATACTGTGCCAGGCACTAACTGCTTGGCATACAGCAGTAAATGATACAAAGTCCCATTCTTATGCAGCTAACATTCTACTGGGAAAAGATAAGCTGTAAATAAATAAATGATATATCATAAATATTGATGAATGCTCTGAAAAATAAAGCAGATTAAAGGGGATAGAAGAGAAAACAGGGTAGTATTTTATATAGTACAATCAACCCTTGAACAACACAGAGATTAGGGATGCCAACCCCCCTGCACAGTCAAAAATCCGCATAAAACTTGACTCCCTCCAGACTTCACTACTAATAGCCAACTGCTGACTTGGAAGTCTTACCAATAACATAAAGTTGATTAACATGTATTTTGTATGTTATGTATATCATATACTGTATTCTTACAATAAAGTAAGATAGAGAAAAGAAAATGTTATTAAGAAAGTCATAAGGAAGAGACTATGCATTTACAGTACTGTGCTGTAAAAACTTCACGTGTAAGTGGACCTGCCTAGTTCAAACCCATATTATTAACTGTATATGGTAAGAGAATCTCTGTTAAGTGACAGTTGGGTAGAGAGCTGGAAGAACTGAGAGAAGCATTTGTGTGGAGATCTGGGAGAAGAGAATTTCAAGCAGAGGTGATAGCCAATACAAAGGCCCTGGTAACCTTCAAAGAATAGCAGGGTGGTCGGTATTGACAGAGTGGAATAAGCTATGGAGTAGTTGATGGTAGGAGATGAGTCCAGAGAGATCACCTCAAATCAGATAAGGGAGATACTATTTACTGATATTCTGGGGATACTATAGGGAAGGAGTGTGTTGGTGGTGGGGCAGGGAGGTTCTCTTTTACACATACCAAGTTTGAGTTGGCTGATAAATATCCATGTGCAACTGTAAGGTTAGAGTTAGGTGTACAAGTTTAAGGGAGGAGTTGGAGTAAGGGAGGAGTTGGAGCTAGAGATGTATTTTTTTTTTTTATCATCAGCATAAACATAGTATTTAAAACATGAGATTGGATAGGATCACCTGAGTCATAAGTACAAATGAAGAGCCCTGGAAGGCTCCAAGATTTACAGATTGGAAAAATAAGGGATCAACAGAGGAAATATCACAGTGGGAGTTTTCCACAGTCAGGTAATGAAAGTGTTTCAAGAAAGAGTGATCACCTGTGTCAGATGCTGCTAATAAGTTGAATTAGGTGAGAACTTCGAGATGGCCATTGGATATGGCAGTTGGAGAGGATTGGCAACCTTGCCAAGAGTGGTTTCAGTATAGTGGTGGAGTGAAAACTGATTGGATTTGAGAGAATGTGGAGAAAAAAATAGGACAGCAAGTATAGAGAATGCATTTGAGGAATTTTGTCATAAAGGGCGGGGTTGAGGTGCTGCAGAGAAATCTGGCAGCTAGAGGGGAATGTAAGACAAAAGATTTGTGGCATTTTGTTTTGTTTTTGGAAATGAGAGCCAGGACAGTATGTTTGTATGCTGGTGCAATGACCTAATAGAAAGAAAAATGGTAGAGCAAGAAGTTACTCTCGCAATACCCTTGATCAGGCAAGAGGGAACTGATCCAGTACTATAGTGGAGCAGGAATAGTTTATCCATGTTAACAGTAGAGAAGGGGATGCATTTGGTTACAGATGCAGGTAAGTTGGTAGATGTGGTGGTGAGATTCTGTAGGAATTCTTCTGATGTTTGTTTCTTAAGACTTCTATAAAGCAGAGTCATTATTTGAGAGTGATGGGGGAGAGGTGGTAAGATGAAAGTCATCTTAGAAGATTGTGAGAATGAATTAACTAGGGAAACACGGTAGGTTGGGTATGGTAGGCCTTATGACTGAGATTTTTGGTCAGGAATTTAAGGTGAAACCAGTCACTGAAGTCATGTATTCTCTAACCAGGTGCAGGTGCTCAGCATAAGCCTGGAGTAATGATGAGAATTGTATTTAATCAGTGCTGGAATTTTTTAAGGCTTGTTTGTACCATAGAGGGGTCAAGGATAGCACAAGAGATAAAGTGGGTAAATGTACAAGTTGTTTTAGTGATAGGTAAGGAATTTAACCCAAGTAAGAGAGAGAGAAGGAAGAGTGAAAAAGTAGTGTTGGTAACTGGATTGGGAATTCTGGTGCAGTCAGTACTTACTGGATTCAGGATAACCAAGGGAGTAGTAGAGGCTGAGAGTGGTAAAAGGTAAGATCATTGAATGGAAGAGAAGTCAAGGAACTGAGAGACCAGGGTAGTAAGAGTATCATCTATGTGAAGATAACAGTCACCAAGATAGGAAAATAATGTTGGTTTTTGGACTCTTTCTCCAACTACCAACACCTTTAAGATACAATGGGAAAAAAGACTAGTAGCTCTGTTAATGACAGAAACATAAGTGTTATAATCTAGTGCTCTCTTGTCCAGTATGGTAACCACTAGCCACATGTGGATATTAAATTTAAATCATTCTAATTAAACTTAAAATTTAGTTCCTCACTCATACTAGCCATGTTGCCAGTACTCAGTAGTCATGTGTGGCTAGTGGACATTGTATTGGGCAGCACAGACATAGATCATTTTCATCACACAAAATTCGATCAGACAGCGTTGATCTAGTGCTTGAACTTAGTAGAAGCTGGAGGATGGTAGAGAGGAAAGAATTGTGAAGAGCAAGGAGCCAGGATTGCACCCAACTCAAATCTAGGCTCATGTTACAAAAAAAGAAAGAGAAGGCTTAAAGAAAAGGTTAAGGATGGGGCTTATGCAGAGGATGGGCCATGAGACCCAGAAGGTACAGTTGGAAAGGTGTAAACGGTCTATGAATGGATATACAAAATGTATACACATAGAGTGGAATATTATTTAGCATTAAAAAGGAATGAAATTCTGACATGTTACACCATGGATGAATCTTGAAGACGTTATACTAGGTGAAATTAGCCAGACAAAAGGACAGATACTGTATGTTTCTGTTTATATGAGGTACCAAGAGTAGTCAAATTCATAGAGACAGAAAATAGAAGAAAGTTGCTAGGGGCCAAAAGGAGGGGGGAATAGGAGTTACTGTACAGTGGGTGTGGGGTTTCAGTTTGGGAAAATGAAGAGTTCTATCCATGCATGGTTGGTGGTGATGGTTGTTTGAATAACTAAAGCGTACACTTGAAAATGGTTAAATGGTGAATGTTATGTATATTTTACCACAATTAAAAAAAACAGAGTCTATTAAGGTGACTGAATATACAAACAATACACAAAATCAATTGTATTTGAAGCAATTTGAAAATATCACTTGAAAGGACACCATTTACAATATCAATAAAAGAAATATAATAGCAAATAATAAATGGAATAATACAAGCAAGACCTTTTTTTTCCCCCCAAGTAGTGGTCTCAGAATACTTTAATTTGCCTTTGGTTTAAACCTGACCAAGTATAGTCCATGAAACATTGCCCATCC